CAAAATCTTCTGATGGAGCCTTGGTTGACCACAGTCGCAGATTAATTGTGGTTTTAGTTTTGTATCCTGGTATGGGAACATCATATGCAACAGCTACTATATCTTCTCCTCCAATCCAATGTCTTTTTCCATCTGATCCAGAAACAAGCTTCCCGTAAAACTGTACAGGATATGAGACATCATTTCTTACAATTTCCCAGGGATTTCCCATCTGCAAGGAGAAAAAAGTAATCATTTCAGGACTAACAAGTAAAAAGACCAGAAAATAAGTGATAATTTCATTAATCTTGACACATACAGTAGCACCATTAAAAAAAAAAGTAAGAGAGAGAGAGGAGAGAGATAAAGTAGCACTTGAAATGAAAGTGGTGAACATATAGCTATACCTCAAGCCAATCCTCAGCAACTTCTTCTTGACCATCTTTGGTAATCCGCTGTTTAAATAATCCATACCTGTATCTAAGGCCATAACCCCATGCTGGGTAATTAAGAGTTGCCAAAGAATCCAGAAAGCAAGATGCCAGCCTCCCGAGACCCCCATTTCCAAGTGCAGCATCTGGCTCCTACAATGGGACAAACAAAGTATTTTAGTTACAATAATTGAGAGATATAGAGAGAGAGAGTGAGTGAGAGAAGAATAAGGGTCTAACCTGAGAAGCTATTTGCTCTAATTTGTGTCCAAGTTTGTTTAAAGCCTCTGCATAAGCACCAGTGAGCTCTAAATTACCAATGGCATTTAACAGAGCTCTACCCTACAAAAAAAGAGATTATGGAACACACATTGCAAATGATTCAATATATATATGATTTCTGCTTGTAGAACCAATGTGAGACATTTACAACGGACCTGTAGAAACTCCATTGACAAATAATATGCCTGCTTAACATTCAATTTCTCAAAATAATTGTATGTAGCATTCCAGTTAATGATGAGAGAATCCCGAACACTTTGTGCAGTTGCAAAGTAAGCCTTTGGAAGATCAAACCGCTCAGGGGAAAATAGAGGGTTGAACTCTGCATGGTATTTGATACTTGAAGCGACAGAAGCAGCATCTGGTGTGAGAGAAACGAGTGTGGTTCCAGCTTCTAAATCAACACATGAAATGTTACAATTAGGTGAGATTGACTAAAATGATGAATAACTAAAAGGAATCTCAAACCAAAGTTCACATCTCACAAAGACACCGAGACTTCTTTAAGTTTCTTCTTCAAGTACGCCCACTTCCCAAAAGTAAGCTAACCTTGAGAACCTTGTTGTATTTTTAAATTTAATATTTCAAATATAGTGCCTCCAGTGAAGTTTTATAGCACTCATTTAACTTGCACAATTTTAATAAAAAGTTTTTGGTTTTGTTTATTTCGCATTAGAAGAAATATATCTCTTGTTTATATAAGTCTTCATACAAAATTGTTCCATCATTTTGTTCTAAGTACTTAGAAAGTTTGGTGTAAATTATTCCTAAATTTCATTCACCCTGCTTGATCGGTTGGTTAGAGGCTCAAAGTCCATATAGTTGTTCTAGCGCTGAAAATTTAGGAGTGCAGGCTTACAAAGCTCAGGTTGTTGTATCCTGAAGGTTAGACCGCCATGAAGTCTACTTTGCACCCAAACATTGTCCTTCTTCGAGAGGGGTGGAATCTATCTGTAACGATAGTGCCTAACATGCCCCGAACTCGCTTTGGTCTTTAAAATCGTCGTATTATTTCAATGTTAAGGTGTTAAGGCTAGATGGCTATGGATTCTTCTATCCTAGAATGAAAGAGAGCCGATGATATTTGGTGCAAATGAAGGTCTCAATAAAGGTATTTATATAGGCATGTATCTTGGCCTCTCAATAAAGGTTTAAAGACTTGACTAAGTATATAATTTCTTTATTAAAGAAATGAGAAGCAAATAAAGCCAAAAAACATAAAATCTTTGTTTAAGTAATGCAAATTAAACAAAGTTATAAATCTTCATCAAATCCACAATATCGGAAATATTGAATTTAAAATAGAAAAAGGGTAATCATATTTTTCCATGTCAGCATCAAAAAAGGATCCGAATTGACCAAATAACGTATGCAATATCATAGAACAGTATGGCAATAAGCCAACTGAATAAGATGATCATCAGCCAGTACTCCATTTCCCATATATCCTAAATGATTTACATACCATTTAGGGAGTGATTGGAACTGGATGGTTGAAGTCATCAAAAAAGGCATAACTTTTAGTACAATTAAATGTACTAGTCCATCAGATGGTAGATCCCAATCCTTTTCTGAGACTGACAAGGAAAAACATGAATACATGGCCTACCAAATTAAAAACGATACAAAATCAACTAATTAAATTCTTCTCCATTTTCCCGTTAGTTTTCCTTAAAGCAGTTGAAAAGAACAAAAATGCTATTATTATTTTTTTAAAATAAAAAAAAAAGCTCACAGAAACACTCTTATTACTGCGAATACCAGCCAGGAAAAAAAATCCGAAATCTAAGTCGAAAAACACACAAGAGAGGTAGGTAATTCATTATAACAACAGGAAAACAAAACGAAACAAATTAATGAAACGTGAAAGCTAAAATGAGGAAGACGATCGGAACCTTCATCGGTGATCGGATCCTTCACTCTCTGCGTCGGCTCGCCCGAGGCGCTCTTCACCGAAAAAGCACGC